CAAGTACTTTACTGATTTTTTGATTGGGTTGTTTGCCTTTTTGTTAAGTTGAAGACTTTTTTAAAAAGGAATTTGCCTTTGAGAATGCTCAGGGTAATGAATATACAAATGTGCTTTATACAATTGATGTATGTATGGATTGTAATAAGAGTTGTATGAGCCCCCAGTGAAATGATTTTTTTAAAAAAAGGTATTTTGGTTCTGTGGTTTTGGAAAAATGTCTCCAAATATGTACGAGGGGGTGCCCCCCCCAAAAAAAACCCTGGAATTTCCCCCCAAAGTTATATATTTAATTTTTTTTGTATTTAAATATTTTTACAAAACAACCTTATCACCTTCAAAGTACTCTCCATTTCACTTAATACAGTTGTCAAATCTGCATTTCCATTCTTAGAAACATTTCAAACTCATCTTCCTGGATGGTTGACAGCACCTCCTTCATTTTTTTGTTCACCTTTTCTATGTTGCCAAGTAGCTGTCCTTTCATGTCCTTCTTCATTCTCAGAAACAAAAAGAAGTTGCCCGGACAGAGGTCAGGTGAGTAAGGTGTGTGGGGCAAGAGAGGCATGCAGTTTTTTGCTCAAAACCGGAACACAGATGACTGCATGAGCAGGTGCATTGTCGTGGTGACAAAACCAGTCTCCCATCTGCCACAAATTAGGCCTTTTTTTGTTGCACACTGTTAAGCAATTATTTCAGAACTTCTAAATAGAAAGCTTGATTAACAGTCTGACCTGGCTGAATGAACCAAATGCACTATCCCCCTCACATCAAATTGGGCGAGGTGCAGATGGTGACTTCCACTGGCTTGATTGATGTTTGTTTTCAGGGTCATAAGAATAGCACCATGTCTCATCACCAGTTATGACCTTGGAAAAAAAGTCTGGGTCATGTTGGAGCTGTTCTTTTGAAGCATGGCATGTTTCCAGTCAACGAGCTTTTTCCTGGTCAGCCAGAAACCGAGCCACAAATACCTCAGCTATCCTCCTCATTCCCAAATCTTCCCTTAAAATCCACTGTTTGATGGTCTGTTGTCAGTTTTCGAGTCTTTGAACACAAGTGCATGAATTTTGTTGACATTTTCGTCCTTTTGGGAAGTTGATGGACATCCAGAAGGAGGTTTGTCATCAATTAGCATTTCTTGTTTTTTGAAATGAGAAAACCACTCATACACTTGAGTTTTTCCCATAAGCTCTGTCCTTGTAAGCTGTGTTCAACATCACAGCTGTTTCTGAGGTATTTTTCCTGAGCAGGAAACAAAATTTCACAGTTGAATGCTGTTCTCTGAAATCGGCTATCACAAAAAATGAGATTGGAGTGGAACTGCTTTTACAAAAAAATTCAGAGAACCTTCCCAAGCGATGCCACTGGGTGCACTAACTCAGAGTTCCTGGATGCTCGCCTAGTGGGGGTAGGGGAATGTGTACTATGAAGCTTATCGAGCAGAGCTTTTTTTGTTTTTCTGGGGGTACCCCCTTGTAGGTTGTCTTCTTGTTTTTCTTATAAACGGAAGTGCTTAAATTTCATGTAGTCCAATTTGTCAATCTTTTCCTTAATGCTAATTCTTTTTGTGTTATATTTGACTTTCTTTTCTCAACTATCTTATAATTGCTTTATGGTTTTGACTTTTAACATTTAGATACAATCTGTTTAGAAAAGGTTTTTGTGTATGGTATGAGGTTGGAGTCTGTTTTCTTCACATGTGGATATTCATTGTCCTTGCACCATTCACTGTGTAAGAAAAAAATTCCTTCCTGCTCTGTTATATAACCTTTTTGTTTTTGTAATTTGTATTCTCTTCATTGATCTATTTGTCTATTCCTGCACTAGTGTTCTACAATGTAATGAGGAAATCACTAAAATAAATCCCTGTTAGTCTTCCCCTTGGTCTTCTCAGCAGTTTTTTGTGTATTCCTGGACCCTAGCACTTTCCATGTACATTTTATGGTTGTGCTTGGTTGATTTCCACAGAAACGAATAATTCTTTGTGTTCTGTATATCTTGATGATAGCTCATTGGATTTATATCTCAACATTGCAAAAATTAACACCTCGATAAGATTGAGTCTTCCCATCTATTTAGGTCTTTTACGAGTATTTCTAATAAAAGGTTACCGTCTGTCTTGGGAACACTTTTTTTTCCTCAGAGAATTTCTCCTTGTTTTTCCTGTGTACAAAATCCAGTAGTTTTCTGAGAAAGGATTCTGTAGGCGTACATTGTTTAGAGACCTTGCATGTCTTGATTATAATGTCATACTTGATGTATGGTTTTATTATAAAATTGTATTTCAAAAATAAGTTTCTATTGATGAGGATTGCACAACATGATTTCTGTAAATGATAGCACTAAATTGTACATATAAAATGTTGAATTGGCAAATGTGCCTTTTATATTTATAATTAATACATTTTTCTGGGTTTTATGTTAGTTTTCTTAGAATTGCTAAGACTGTTCTACTGCTGTCTTTTGGTGTTAACTTTGGCTGCTGTGTAATGAATGCCATTCTGTTTTCTGATCCTTTGTGATCATTTTTTCTCTTAATTTGGGATCTTTTTAGCCACTGACCATAATGATGCATTTTAATGTAGATCCCTACTTCCCATGTTCTTGGGCTCTTGGTTATCTTTTTCAATCCAGAGATGCATGTCCTTCAGCTCTATGACATTTTTTGGTTTTGTTTTATTTATTTGAATCTTCCCACAGATATTTCTTGCCATGGTCTCAGGACTCTTGGATACGTACTACCTTACTTAACCTCTCAGGAGCATTTCCTGTAAAAAGCTCCATCTTTGGTCACGGCACACTTAATTTTCCTTCCATCTCTTGAGTCCTCTCCTCAGTCTCCTTTGCTGGCTTCTCTTTCTCTTTCAGGCTGGTAACTATTGAGATTCCCAGGGGCTTGTGTAGAGCTACTCTCCTCTTTTACCTACTAGAGCCTAACTTTTCCCATTGTGTCAGGTTGTGTCAAAATGCAAATTTATGCCTCTGCCATCAGACTTCCTTTTGAACTCCAGACTCACTCTATCAGAGTACTCTATGTTTTTTTGGTAGATGGCTACCCTGGCCTTTACCCATTAGAGAAGCATCGGTGGCGTTGTGGGTTAGGCACTGGGTGCCTAACCACAAGATCAGTGGTTCAAACCCACCAGCTGATTTTTAGGAAAAAGCTGAGGCTGTTTGCTTCCATAAAGATGTATAGTCTCAGGAACCTATATAGGGATGCTCCTAACCAAATGACAACCCAGAATGCCTTCGAACCCCCAGAATCCAAACTCACTGCTGCAATGATGATTTTGAATGCTTATAGATTAAAATACTTGAATACCTTTTTGGTATGACTCATAACGACCCAATAGGGCAGAGTAAAACTGCTTCAGGGGTTTGGTTATCCCATTCAATGTTTGCCTTGTGTTCACTTCTTTTGTGAGCAAAGTTTTATGGGACCAGAAAGCCTCATTTTTCTTCTGTAGAGCTGCTGGTGGGTTTAAACTGCTGACCCTGAGGTTAGCAACCCAGTTCTTGGCCTATGAGGCCACTAGGGCTCCTATAGAATGCCTCCAGATGTCCTCTGAGAGGCAGAATTGCCTCTGGTTGAGAACCACTGGTTGAGTACAATGTTTATGATGTTCTTCTATGTTGTTATTTTGCCCATTAAAAAAAAAAGGAAAGTTTTTACTTTTGTTTTTTATGATTTTGGACTCTAAGCCCATTATCCACAATTATTTTTCATTTACTTAATTACTTAATTCAAATATTTTTATTCTTTGCTTCTTTTACGTGTCTAATTATATTGATTACTTTTCTGAACAATTTAAAAATAGTGGAAATGCTTGAGATTTTAGTTAATTTATCATCGACTTTGTGCCAGTGTAAAAGTCTTTTAAGCTTTTTCCTTCTTGGTTATTTGTTTTAAGCCTGAGTTATTATCTATAGACTTTCCGGTAAGTGAAGTATGCCTCTATTCCCATTTCATTTCTTTACACAGCTGTGGTGTTTAAGTTTGTACAAGTTTTTCATCATTTTAAGAACAGAAGCAGTTTATTCTTTTGTCACAGTATAGTCTCTATGCCAACATGTAGTTCAGTTGGAACATAACATGCTATTGCAGAGCAGGAGTTCTGGCGGAGCTGTTGAGGAAGCGCTGGGCTGCTAGGTTGGTGGTTCAAACCCACCAGCTGCTCTGTGGGAGAACGTTCAGGCCATGTGCTCTGTAAAGATTTACAGTCATGGAAACTGTATCGGGCTGTTAGGAGTTGGAATTGACTGGATGTCAATATGAATATTGCACATCGGGTGCTATGAATTGGACTCAACTTGGGGTTAGTGGGACTCCAGTATAAAAAATATGTTGTTTCTTGGTACTAATATGAGAGCTCAGATTGATTTGTAATGGAAGATAATTGAATTTCAATGAGTATATCCCTCTGTTTCTAAAGATGAATCATTTTCAGAAATGGTTTTGAAGTGGGTTGTCTCATCTCAGCGATGTGGGATGCTTTACATCCCTGTGTTGCTAAGCAGCCGTCTGGTGGGTTATCCATACAGATGTATCCATTGAGTGTACATATGGAGAATATAACCAGATTATTTTGGGTCTCTTGTTCTTTTAATTTATTTCATAAGATCCTCAACTTTTCCATTTTATTAGCTTAAGTCCACACTGTAAATTACTGCTGCAATATTAGCTATTTTGAACATTTAGAAACAAGAATAGTTTAATGCCTTTTTGTTATTTGAATCATGACTCAAAAAGTATAAACAAAGTTTATACATTTCTTCATATGTTGTTTTTCCTCATCTCAGTTTTAAATATGTCTGAAATCAGAAAATCTTGTTTTGTTTTAACTTTAGCAGCAGGTACATTTGATTTCCGATTGGTGTTTTGTGTATGGGCTTTATAAGGTTTATTTTATGTCTGTAAATGTATGTTTAGGCGTTTTAATGTTTGTACTTAAAAAGTATGCATTTAAGTGTTTCACTTTGATACTTTCATTTTTTAGGCTCAGAATAAAGAGACCAATGTTTTAGCTGCTGCGAAGGTGATTGACACCAAGTCAGAAGAAGAACTTGAAGACTACATGGTTGAAATTGATATATTAGCATCTTGTGATCACCCAAATATAGTCAAGCTGCTAGATGCCTTCTATTATGAGAACAATCTCTGGGTAAGCATTTATTGTTGATCTATGGGAGGAGTTTTATGAGTTGTGAAAGTCTATTTTATATATTATCTCTTCTGTTAGTTTCTAATGTTAAGGGAATGAGAGCTAACCTGCTGGTAGGAAGGCCTTTAACAGCTTAATTATGCTTAACTTCAGTAGCTATTCAGATCTACTGTCCAGATTGTACCCAGTTGCATTATGGTTGATTGACATGTGACCCTAATGAAGGAATTTTCTTAAGGATATTAAATTTCCTAAAACATGAAATTAGGTAACTTTTTCTTGTTTGTAATTTAAGTTTAAGCATTTTATTTTACATTTTCTAAAGTTAACTTTCCTAGAAATAGTTTCTAATTTTTAACCCTAAACTTTAAAAAATACCTAATAAAATGTAATATACTTGCTAGAAATGTTATCATCCTATGGGTAAGTAAACAGGCTCATAAAGATAAAGTGACCGTAGTGGTGCTAACAAACCCAGGGACAAGGGAATAACAAGTGATCCAAATTGGTGGTGAGGAGGGTGTAGGAGGCCTGGTAGGGCGTGACCAAGGCTAATG